AAACCATGGACAACTGCCTGCATTAAAAAAATCAAAATAGTATAATAATGTCAGTTTCAAAAGTTGACCTAAATAGATTTTATTCGCAGATTTTAAGGGCATTGCAGCCTAGTTGTTGGTTCTACCACTCAGTACTTACTCTCTTGTACCTCAATTCCTTTACATATAAAATAAGACTAATTGTAATAACCTGCCTTACAGGGTTGTGAGGATTAAATTAGGTAGTGCATGTGAAATGCTTAAAGCAGTACATAGAGTATAGTAAGTGCTGGGTAGGTATTAACTATTATGTATTAATTTTAATTTTTAGAAAAAATAATGTACATTGTGAAAAAATCATCAGTGTTTTTAATAGGGAGTAAAGATATGGCTTATGCTAAGTAACTGATGATCATTAAAGCATCTGTATTTGAGTTTAGAATTGATAATCTCATGCTAAGTAAAATGGAGGTTTGACTGCCTGATGCAGCAAAAGCCAAACTCATGAGGTAAGTTCTGGTGCAAAAGGAAACAGGTTTTATTGAGGTGCTGTACAACCTGGGAGAATGATGGACTACCATCTCAAAGACCATCTCTTTCTAGCTCAAGCCCACAATTCTTATAGGGATAGGGAGGGCAGGGCTTTTTTTTTTTTTTTTTCGTATCCAGTAATCTTGCTAGCATTCGGCATGCCCAGGGGACCTATTCATTCAACTTTGTAGCTTTCAGTGCAGTCGGGCCCTAAACATTTGTATTTTTAGCTTTTGGCACACTAAGGCCCTATCCATTCATGTTTCTAGCTTTGGGTAATGCTCAGTGTAAGAACCTCCCTTTGCCACCATCTTGGCCAATGGGGGAGACTCTCCAGTGCTCCAATGGACTGTCTATACTCTACAGTAACAGTATCACACAGTTTCTGTGTACTTGCTCCTTTTCTGTTTAGCACGACCTTTTTATCAGCTGCTCAGCATCTGTGTTAGTTCAGCAGCAAATATGCATTTTTCTTAAGTGCACATGGAACATTTTCAAAGTTAGACTACATGTTAGAACACAAAACAACTCTTAATAAATTCAAGAAAATTAAAATCATATCAAGCATCTTCTCTGACCACAGATGCTGAGTAGCTGATTTTCAGTTTCAAGTACGAAACTTGAAATCAACTAAGATAAAAAAACTGAAAAACTTTCAAATACATAGAGGCTAAATAGCATGTTGTTAAACAATACATGGTTAACAGGGAGATCAAGGAGGAATCAAAAGTTATTTGGAAACAAATTAAAATGAACATACAACAACCCAAATTTTATGGGACACAGCAAAAGCAGTCCTGAGAGAGAAGTTCATAAATTACAGGCCTACCTCAAAAAAGAAGAAGAATCTCACATAAATAATCTAAACAAACACCTAAAAGACATAGAAGAAAACAAAAAACAAAGCCCAGAGTTCAGTAGAAGGAAGGAAAGAATAAAGATAAGAGCAGAAATAAATGACATAAAGACCAAAAAAAGAAAATACAAAAGATGAGTGAAACCAAGAGCTGGACCTTTGAAAAGATAAACAAGATTGATGAATGTTTAATCTGACTCATTAAGAAAAAAAAAAAGAGGGCCCAAATAAACAATATCGGAAATGAAAGACGAAAAATAACTGATACCACAGGAATACAAAGGATTGTAAGGAAATACTATGAACAACTATCTATACACTAAGAAATTGGAAAACCTGAAATTGGTAAAAATCACATGATTATACCAATAGATGTAGAAGAACCATTTGATAAAATATAGCAAAAAAATATGGTAAAAAAAAACTTTCATCAAAGTGGGAATAAAGAGAACATAGCTCTACATAATAAAGGCCATATATGACAAACCTACAGCCAATATCATTCTCAGTGGGCAAAAATTACACGCATTTCCCCTAAGATCAGGAATAAGACAGGGATGTCAGCTTTCACCACTCTTATTCAACATGGTACTGGAGCCCTAGCCACAGTAATCAGGCAAGAAAATAAAAGCTATCCAAGCTGGAGAGGAGGAGGTAAAACTGACATTGTTTACATATGACGTGATAGTGTACGTAGAAAAACTTAAAGACTGCACACACAAAAAACTACCAGATCTAATAAACTAATTTCTCAAAGCAGGATACAAAATTAATATTCAGAAATTGGTGGCATTTTAATATATCAGTAATGAACTATTAGAAAGAGAAATTGAGAAAATCCTACTTACTGTTGCAACAACAACAACAAATACAATATCTAGTAATAAATTTAACCAAAGAGGTAAAAGACCTGTACTTGGAATATTAGAGGATATTGAAGAAAGAAATTGAGGAAAATACAAACAAGTGGAAGCAATGACCATATTCATGGATTGGAAGAATTAACATCATTTAAATGTCCACACCACCCAAAGCAATCTATAGATTCAGCACAATTCCTTTTAAAATACCAATGGCATATTTCACAGAAGTAGAACAAATACTCTAAAAATGTATATGGAGCCTCCCAAAAATCCCAAATAGCCTCAGCAATCTTGAAAGAACAAAGTTGGAGGGTTCACAGTACCTGATATTAAACTATAATACAGGCCATTTTAATCAAAACAGCCCGATACTGGCATCAAAACAGGCATATGGCCCTCTTTGCCATTTGTACTGTGAGGATGAAGACCATTCTCAGCAATCAGACTTTCCACATCCCCAAAAATGTCGACATCACTCTGAAGGGACACACGGTTATTGAGAAGGGCCCCAGAGGCATCATTTGGAGGGGCTTCAACCACATCAACATCGAACTCGGCCTTCTTGGAAAGAAAAAGAGGCTCCAGGTTGACAAATGGTGAGGAAATAGAAAGGAGCTGGCCACTGTTTGCACTATTTGCAGTCATGTGCAGAACATGATCAAGGGTGTTACCCCTGGGTTTCCACTACAAGATGAAGTTTGTGTATATTCACTTCCCATCAACATTGTTATTCAGGAGAATGGTTCTCCTGTTGAAATCAGAAATTTCCTGGGGGAAAAAATACATCTGCAGGGTTCAGATGAGATCAGGCATTGCTTGTTCACTATCTCAGGCCCAGAAAGATGAGTTGATTCTGGAAGTAAACGTCATTGAACTTGCATCAAATTAAGCTGCTTTGATTCAGCAAGTCACAACAGTTAAAAACAAGGATATCAGAAATTTTTTGGATGCTACCTATGTTTCTGAAAAAAAGAACATTTCAGCAAGCTGATGAATACAATCTAAGTTGTCCAGCTATAGAAATAGCAAGATGCTGAATGATTCCTCACACTTGCAATAATCCTTACATTTATTTGTATAATTTTAAAAGTGCAAGAAAAACTGTGTATTGAAACAAAAGAACAGGCATATAGATCAATGGAACAGAACAGTATCTCAGAAATAAATGCCTTTATGGTCAACTACTATTTAAGGAGTCAAGAGCATACAATGGAGTAAAGACAGTCTTTTCAATAAATGTTGTTGGGAAAATTAGATAAATATGCCAAAAAATGAAACTAGATCACCACCTTATACCATACACAAGAATAAACTCCAAATGGGTAAAGGACTTAAATGTAAGTCACAAAACCATAAAAATCATAGAAGAAAACATAGGCAGTATATAGGCTTATATATTTCCCGGGGCAAGAAAAACATAAACAAATGGGACTACATCAAACTAAAAAGCTTTTGCACAGCAAAAGAAACCATCCAAAAAATGAAAAGACAACCCATTGCATGGGAGAACATATTCGCTAATGATACATCTGATAAGGGGTTAATTTCCAAAATGTATAAAGAACTTAATGCAACTCAACAAGAAGATAAACAATCCAATTAAAAAATGGGCAAAGGACCTAAATAGACACTTCTCCAAAGAGTACATACAGATGTCCAACAGACCTATGAAAAAAATGTTTACCATCACAATGATCAGAGAAATGCAAATTAAAATCACAATGAGATTTAACCTCACACCTGTCAGAATGGCTACCATCAATAAATGAACATACAAGAAGTACTGGCGAGGATGGGGAGAAAAGGGAATCCTCTTGTGTTGGTGGGAGTGCACATTGGTGCAGCTACTGTGGAAAACTGTGGTTTTCTCAAAAAAATAAAAATGGAACTGCCTTATAACCCAGCAATTCCGTCCTAAGAAACCCATAAACACTAATTTGAAAGGATATATGTACCCCTATGTACATTGCAGGATTATTTACAATAGCCAAGATCTGTAAACACCCCAAGTGCCCCTCAGTAGGTGAGTGGATAAAAAAGCTGTGGTAGTTACACAGTGGGCTACTACTTGGCCATAAAAATGAAAATCGTTTCTTTTGTGACAGCATGGATCAACCTGGAGATTGTTATGCTATGTGAAATAAGCCAGTCAGAGAAAGACAAATACCATATGATCTCACTTACATGTAGAATCTAGTGAGTAAAATAAATCGATGAACAAAATATAAACTGAGGCATGGTCACAGCAAACAGACTGACAGCTGTCAGAGGGGAAGAGGTTGGAGAACTGGGTGAAAGAAGGTGAAGAGATTAAGCAATAAAAAATATATATGCATACATAACACAAAGAAACAGACAATAGAGTGATGATATCCAGAGGTAAAGGGGATTGGGAGTAGATGGAGGTGGGCAAAGGGCCGGGGGAAATGGGATGGAAAAAGACTTTGCTTGGAACAATGGGCATGTGATTCAGTGTGCCAATGATGTTTTATCTATTTGTACACTTGAAACCTGTATGGTTTTGCAAACCAGTGTCACCCCAATAAATTCAATAAAACATTTTTTTTTTAAATCTATGTTACTTTACTGAAGAATGTGATAGGTGATCAGAAAAAAAGAAAAAATGTTCTACTTTACATAAGGGAAAACGGTGTAGAAATATTAATTTATGGTTCATTTTCTACAACTAGTTGTGAGATTGATTAGAAATCTAAGTTCTTGGTGTTTTTTTTTTCTGAATTATTGATATTTTTCCAATTTCATTTTTCCAGGATGATCCACATACTAATTTAGTGATTGAAGCTATAAAAAATGATCACCTAAGACAAATGGAACGTGAAAGGTAATACTTGGGGCACTTAATAATTAAAACAAGATAATATAGGTTAAATTTGTAAAAAAGAGTTGAATGGGCATCTGATTATTTTATTCAAAACTTGTTATATGTGCTGTATTTCTTGAATAGTCCTGTTGTTTCACCATTCCTGTACTTTACTGGGTTCTTTTTTCTTTTTCACAACAATCTCAGTGCTTATGTTAATTCCAGTTATTCTTACTCATTTATTCTTACTATTTCTTTGTAACTCGCTTTCTCTCTGCATTTGGTACAATACTGGAATTTTGTTTTATTATCTTTATTTTTTAAAATTATATCTTTATGCATTTTTGTCCAGTCTCCCAATTAAACTTCAACTCTCAAAGACAAAATTCTTTCTATTTATTTTATTTCTTCCTTTCTCCAGTAAGAGGTACCTAGTCTCTGCCAAGTATGTTTTGGAACTTTTAATATTTATTGACTATGCAACAGGTATATTAGTAGTATATCACATGATATACAGGGCCTTTAGTTTCTTTAAAATTGTGGTAAAATACACATAACATAAAAATTTACCATCTTAACCATGGTGCATATTTCTTCATAGTTCAGTAGTGTTAAGTACATTCACAATGATTTGTAGCAAGAATTTCTTTGTCTTCCCAAACTGAAACTCTGTACCCATTTAAAACGATTTTCAAGCATCCCCTCTTCAGTCCCTGGCACCCACCTTTCTACTTTGTATCTATGAATTTGTCTGCTCTAGTAACCTCAGATATCCAATTATTTGTCCTTTTGTGACTGTCATTATCACTTAGTATAATGTCCTCAAGGTTCATCCATGTTGTAATATGTGTCAGAATTTCCTTCCTTTTTAATTCTGAAGGATACTTCATTACATTCATGGAAGGCCCTTAATCTTTAGGAAGCAGTTTAACAGTAAAAATAAAACAGGCCCCGGCCAGGTAGCTTAGTTGGTTAGAGCCTTGTCCTGATACGCCTAGGTTGCAGGTTCAATCTCCAGTCAGGGCACATACAAGAAGCAACCAATGAATGCATAAATAAGTGGAACAACAAACTGATGTCAGCCTCTCCCTCTCTCTCTCCCTCCCCCCTTCCTCTCTAAAATCAATCAAACAGTAAAACTGGGACTACTTCTGAGAACATAGAGTAGATGTACTTTCCCCTGATCCTCCCACTAAGTCCAAATAAAAACCCTGGAAATCAAATGTAAAATATAATATATATAGAAAGGTAGAGAGAAGAGGGAAGATCAAGGGACCTCGAGACCTGAGGAACAACTTGGCAGTGAGTTTCCCTTATGTTTCACAGACTTCAGCTGAAGAAGCTGGAAAGTAGAAAATATTCATGGGTACATTTATCAAACAAAAAGCCTGCTTTCTGTAGCTAAAGGACAAGGAAAGGGGTAGGCCAGCAAGACAGAAAACTTTAAGACAAATACCACAGAAAAAAAATACTGGCCCCACCCTTACGCATGCCAGCAAAAGCCAAGTGAGGCAGAGCTCAACCTCCCCCCTCGTAAGGCTATAAGGAGACACCCAGTACCCCAAAAGGCCAAATTGGGAGCCATGACTTTAATCCCTAAAGGCCCTTCATGAGTCTTACCACTCTGTGGTTTCAGCAGGCAGTACATGGGGAGTCTGGAATTCCACCCCACCCAGTAATAACGAGGCACTACTCCTCCTCTCATGTGGGGTGGTGTCTGAGAAGATGGAGAATTAGGAATTTCATTATCAGCAGTGACAAGGCAACCCCACTGTGGTGTCAGTAGGACCATAGTGGAAGCAGGAACTTACCCCACCCAGAAGAAACAAGGACCTCCTCCTACCTTGGGTGCCATAAAGACCATGTGGGAAAACTGGACTTCTTTTACCTGGCAATAATGAGGTGATATCTCTTTTTCCCCACCAGAGCAATGTCAAAAAAGGCAGCCAAAACAAAAGACAAATAAAATTCCATCTCATAATACAAAATATTCAACTTTTGATTTAAAAAAATTGCTTATCATACAAAAACCTTAAATTGAATGAAAAAAGGCAATCAATAGATGCCAACATTGAGATGACAGAGATGTTAGAATTATTTTTAAAGCAAATGTGTTTTTTAAAAAAACTTCAAGAAGCAATTTATGAACATGCTTAAAATATTAAAAAATAGAAACCCTTGGAAAAGGAATAGTCTCAACAAAGAAATAGAAGCTTTAAAGAAGAGCCAAATAGAAGTTTTAGAAATAAAAATTAAAATAGCTGAAATAGAAAGCTCAGTGGTTGCGCTCAACAGGAGAATGAAGGGGAAAGGGGGAAAGATTCAGTGAACTGGAAGATAAAAGTTGGAAATTACCCAATCTGAACAACAGGGGAAAATAGACAAAAGGGAAAAAAGTGAAGAGAGCTCAGAGACTTCTGGGACTTTAACATAAGATCTAAGATTTGTGTCATCCATGTCTAGGAAGCAGCTAAAGAAATAATGGCTGGTAACTCCCAAAACTTAGCAAGAAAAAATACTTATGACACAAGAAACTGACTGAATTCCAAAGAGGATAAACCCAAGGAAATCATGTCAAGATAGATCATGATTAAACTTCTGAAAAGTAAAGGCCATGTCTTGAAATGAGGCAGAGAATAACAACATGTAAGGGAAAAGTGATTGAATGACAGTGGAAAAGTCTTAAATCAGTAACCTAAACTCCCAGCTGCAGAACCTTAAAAAAAAAAAAAAAAAAAAAAAAAAAAAAAGGAAAAAGGAAAAAAAAATCAACAGAAAGGAAGCAGAAGGAAAGAAATAATATGGAACAGAAACCATTGCCATTGGAGATAAAAACAATAGATAACATCAATGAAGTACTTCTAACACAGCTAACAAAAAGAGAGAAGACACAAATTACCAATGTCAGGAACAAAACAGAGGCTCTCACTAATGACCCTGCAGACATCAAAAGGATAATAAGGGGATACTACAAACATCCCTATACACATAAATTTGACAACTTAGACTAAATAGACCACTTTTCTGGAAACAAAAGCTACCACAACTCACTCTATATGAAATAGAGCATTTGAAGAGCCCCTGTACATGTTAGGGAAATTGAATTTATAATTTAAAACTCCCAAGAGAGATATCTCCTGGCCCAAATTGTTTTACTAGGAAATTATAGCAAATGTTTAAAGAAGAGATAACATCAGTTCTATACAGTCTCTTCCAGAAAGGAAATTTATTTCATAAACTTGTGTTACCATGATACCAAAATAAGACAGACAGTACCCAAAAAAGGGGAGGAGGGGAACCATAGATCAATATCTTATGAATAGAGATGCAAAAATCCTTGGGAAATACTAGTGAACCAAAAATACTATCAAAATATAAAGAGGATTATGTGCCATGACCAAGAGGGATTTGTTCTAGAAATGCAAGATTTGTCTACCATCTAAAAATCAGTTAATATAATACAGAGTATGAGTTAAATGAAGGAGAAAAACAGCATGATCATGTCAGTATAAACATAACATTTTTGGACAAAATTCAAAAATGCTTTCTTGTTAAACAAACAAACAAAATCTTTAAAAGCTATGAGTAGAAAGGAAGTGCCTTTCTGGAATTATGATAGGAGTTACATTGAATCTGGTAAAGACATCTATGTCACACCCACAATCTGGCATTACACTTAATTGTGAAAGACTGAATAATTTCCACCTCAGATTAAGAACAAGAGAAGGGTATCTACTCTCACTAGGTCTACCCAACATGTGCTGGATGTTCTAGCTATGGAAATTAGGCAATAAAAGGGAGTAAGATACCTCCAGATTGGAAAGGAAGAAGTAGAAATATCTCTATTTACAGATCACATGATCTTGAATACAGAATATCCAACATACAGTTTTAGAATCTGCTAAAAAATGATTATCACTAACAAACGAGCTCAGCAAGGTTGCAGAGTAAACTATCAATACCCAAAAGTCAATAGTACACTATAGAAATATACTACACCAATGAAGTATATGAAAATGAAAGTACCAATTACATTTATAATAGCAAAAATTAATTAGGAGTCAATATAACTAAGGAAGTGCAAAACTTATGCTCTAAAAACTGTAACACATTTTTTAAAAGAAGCACTACATAAATGGAATGACATCACATGTTAATGCATAGGCACATAATGTTTAAGATGACAGTGCTCCCAAAATTACTTTATAGATTCAATGTAATCCCCATCATAATTCCATCAGTATTTTTAAAGAAAGGGACAAGTTGATTCTAGAATTTATATGGAAATATAAGGGATTCAGAATAGTCAAAACAATGTTGAAAGAAAAGACAAAGTTGGAGGACTCAAACTATAAAAAACTATAAATCTAAATCAGTCAAGTCAGTGTGGTAGTACTTAATCTAGTAGCATAAAGATAGACATACAAATCATTGAGAATTCAGAAATAAACTTACATTTATAGTCAATAAAGGTACCAATACAATCAATGAGGAAAAGATAGCTTTTTCAACAAATCATGTTGGAACAATAGATATGCTCAGGCGAAAGAATGAAGCTGGACCTCTCTCTCACACCAAACACAAAAAACTACTTCAGGATGGATTGTAGACTTACATGCAAGGGCTAGACCTATAAAATTCTCAGGGGAAAAAATATAGAAATAAATATTGTTGACCTTGTGTTAGACAATGGCTTCTTATATTTGACAACAAAAGCACATGAAAAGGAAATAAATAGGTGAATTGGACTTCATCAAAGTTAAAAAACTTTTGTTCTTCAAAAGATGTCATCAGGAAAGTGAAAAGACAATGCACAGAATGGGAGAAAACATTTGCAGGCCATGTATCCAAGAAGGAACTTATTTCTGCAATACATAAAGAAGTCTTCCAATTCAATAATTAAAAGGCCAAAACCCAATTTAAAATGTACAAAGGATCTGAATAGACATTTCTTCAGAATAGACATGCAAATGCCTAATAAGCACAATACAAGGTGCTTAACCTTTGTGCTCCCTGGGGAAATGCAGCTCAACCCCACCAGGAGTTATCACTTCACACCCACTAGTATGACTAATAAAAAAAGACAGATATAATAACAAGTATTGGTGAGGATGTAGAGAAGTTGAAATCTTATATATTGATGGTGGAAATATAAAATGGTACAGCCACTTTAGAAAACAGTATGGAAATTCCTCAGAAGATTAAATCAGCAATTTCTTTCCTAGGTGTGTACCCAAAAGAAATTAGAACATATGTCCACACAATAATTATACACGAATGTTTATGGCAGCATTATTCATAACAAATAAAAAGTAGAAACAACCCAAATTTCCACAACTGGTGGACACATGATATATGGTCTAGCTATACAATAGAATAGTATTTAGTCATAAAAAAGAATGAAATACTGATATATGCTACAGTACACATAAACCATGAAACATTATGATAAATATCAATAAAAGAGGCCAATCCCATAAGACCAATACTCTATGATTCTACTTATGAATAAAAGGCACAGATGAGGCAAATCTATATCTTTCTTTAATGGCCATTTTCTTTCTTGTACATATCAGTGCAGGTTATGTTATCAGCTGCAGAGCCTTTTTTCTCTCCAGTGTCTCTTTCTTCCTTTAGTTTGTCAGCATGTATCATAAAGTAGAAGTGAACTGTTGACTCAGAAGGAAGTAATGGCTTCCAATTCCTAGTCATGAGATTCAACCTGACTTAGAGGTTTATAGTATAGCTGCCCACAATTCAGTAGGCTTCATTGTATGTTCATTTTGATCAATAATGTTTACACTTAAATTTTCTTAAATTCCTCTCCCATGGACATTTTCTCATCGCTTTTAGAGAGAGAGAGAGATTGAGAGGAGGAAAGGGGGAGAAAGAGAGAGATTGAAACATTGATGTGAGAAACATCGATTGGTTGCCTTCTCATATGTGCCCTGACCAGAGAATGAACCTACAACCTGGTTATGTGCCCTGACCAAGAATCGAACCCACAACCTTTCAGTCTGTGGAACAGTACTCCAACCAACTGAGCAACACTGGCCAGAATAACACTTAAATTTTTTTAAATTTTATACCATGTTTCTTTATAAATTTTTGTTTGTTTGTTTGATGTAGAAAAGCCATGGCAGAAAAATACATCATGACAGCTGCAAAACTCATTGCTCCTGTAATTGAAACATCTTTTGCTGTAGGATATGATTGGTAAGAGAAATTCACTATAACTGGATGGGTATGGTATTTTCATAATGTATACTTTTATTGGTTTAAAATTTTATCTACTATGATTTGCAAATTTTTCTCTTATTTTGTTCATTACCTTGTCATTTTGTTGATGGTCTCCTTTGCTATGCAGAAACTATTTAGTCTGATAGCGTCCTACTTGTTTAGTTTTTATTTTGCTCCATGTAGGTATTATATCCAAATAGTCATTGCCAACACCATTGCCAAGGAGCTTTTTCCCTTTTATTTTCCTGGAAGGTTTATGATTTTTATTTCTGATTTTATTTATTTGAGCCTTTTTTTACCCAGATAATCTACCTAAAAATTAGTCTATCTTTACAAAAAACTAGTTTATTTTCATTGATCTTTTCTATTGTTTTTCTAGTTTCTGTTTCATTTATTTCTTCTCTGGTGTTTTTTGGGGGGTGGGTTTCTTTGTTATTTCCTTCTGCTAACTTTGGGCTCAGTTTTTTGTTTATTTGTTTTTGTTTGTTTTAGTTCCTTGAGGTGTAAAGTTTGGGGTTTTTTTTTAATGACTTAATGTAGGTATTTATTGCTATAAATTTGCTTTTGGAACAGCTTTTGCTGCATCCCACACGTTTTGGTATGTTTTGTTTTCATTTTATTTGTTTTAGGATATTTTAAAATTTTTCTAACGTCCTCTTTGACCCATTCAGGGATGTGATTTTTTTTTGGGAGGGGGGTGGTGATTCCATCTTCATTGTGTATCAGGGCTTAGATGATCAACACCAGTGAGCATCACAAGCCACTCACCTGCCCTTCTTTTCTATCAATCAATATCTAGATTAAGTTAGCCCTGGGATGTGATTTTTAATTTCCATGTATTTGTGAATTTTTCAGTTTTCCTTTTGTTATTGATTTACAGTTACATACTATTTGCTAAGGTTTGTTTTATGGCACCACATGATCTATCCTGGAGAATTCTGCATGTTCATTTGAAAAGAATATGTATTATGCTGCTCTTGGATGAAATGTTCTGTATATATATATTAGGTCAATTCGATCTAAGGTAGAGTTCAACTCCAATGTTTCCTTGTTGATTTTCTGTTTGGATAATTGATCCATTATTGAAAATGGGGTATTCAAATTCCCTACTATTATTGTGTGGTTGTCTGTTTCTCCCTTTAGATCTGTATTTCCTTAATATATTTTGGTGCTGTGATATTAAAAACATATATATTTATGATTGTTATATCTTCTTGATGAATAGACCTTTTGTTGTTAAATAACCTTCTTTATATTTTGCTACAGTTTTTGACTTAAAGTCTGTTTTGTCTGATATAAGTATAGCTACCTTTTGATTTTCTCTTATACATGAAATATCTTTTTCCATCCCTTCACTTTGAAGCTATGTGTTCTTAAGGCTGAAGTGAGTCTCTTTTAGGTATGATATACTTAGGACTTCATTTTAATTCATTCAGATACTCTATGTCTTTGGATTGGAGAATTTAATCCATTTACACTTAAAGTAATTTTTGATAAGTAATAATGTTGATAGGTTAATTAGTAATTATTGATAGGTACTAATGTCATCTTATTGTATTCTGTCTCTTTTGTAGTTGCCTTGTCCCTTCTTCCTCCTTTCTCTTTTGCTGTCTTTGTGAATTGATAATTTTATGTAGTGGTGTGGTTTCATTCATTTCCCTCTTCTGTGTATCTACTGTAGGTTTTTGCTTACATAAAACATCTTACAGAAGTCCATTTTTAGCTAATAGCAACTTAATTTCAATTGCACATAAAAAGTCAACCCATTTACACCACCCCCATTATTTTTTTTCAGATATTACAATTTACATCATTTTATATTATGTATTCATTAACAAATTATTTTAATTATACTTTTTAGTACATTTTATTGATTATGCTATTACAGTTGAACCATTATTTTTCTCCCCTTTATTCCCTTTCACCTTGCAACCCCCTTCTATCAGCATCACCCCCCGCCCCGCTTAGTTCATGGCAATGGCTAATACTTGTAAGTTCTTTGGCTGCTCCATTTCCTATACTATTCTTATCCTCCTCCTGTCTATTTTGTACCTACCATCTATGCCGCTTATTCCCTGTATCTTTTCCCCCATTCTCCGCCCTCCCCCTTCCCCGCTGATAACCCTCCATGTGATCTCCATTTCTGTGATTTTGTTCCTGTTCTAGCTGTTTGCTTAGTTTGTTTTTGTTTTTCTTAGGTTCAGTTGTTGACAGTTGTGAGTTTGTTGCCATTTTACTCTTCCTAGTTTTTGATCTTCTTTCTCTTAAATAAGTCCCTTTAACATTTCATATAGTAAGGGCTTGGTGACGATGAACCCCTTTAACGTTACCTTATCTGGGAAGCACTTATCTGCCCTTCCATTCTAAATGATAGCTTTTCTGGATAGAGTCATCTTGGATGTACGTCCTTGTCTTTCACGACTTTGAGTACTTGCCAGCCCCTTCTTGCCTGTAAGGTTACTTTGAGAAATCAGCTGATAGTCTTATGGGAACTCCTTTGTAGGCAACTGTCTCCTTTTCTGTTGCTGCTTTGAAGATGCTCTCCTTATCTTTAATCTTGGGTAATGTAATTATGATGCGCCTTGGTGTGTGCTTCCTTGGCTCCAACTTCTTTGGGGCTCTCTGTGCTTCCTGGACTTCCTGGAAGCCTATTTCCTTTGCCAGGTTGGGGAAGTTCTCCTTCATTGTTTTTTCAAAAAAGTTTTCAGTTTCTTGCTCTTCCTCTTCTCCTCCTGGAACCCCTATGATTCAGATGTTGAGACGTTTAAAGTTGTCCCAGAGGTTTCTCAGCCTCACCTCATATTTTTGAATTTCTCTTTCATCATTCTGTTCTGGTTGACTGTTTATTTCTTCCTTCTGCTCCAAATCATTGATCTGAGTCCCGGTTTCCTTCCCTTCACTGTTGGTTTCCTATGTATTTTTCTTTATTTCACTTTGCATAGCCTTTACTTTTTCCTCTATTTTGCGACCATACTCAATCATTTCTGTGAGCATCTTGGCTACCCGTGTTTTGAACTCTGCATCTGATAGGTTGGCCATCTCTTTGTTGCTTCGTTCTTTTTCTGGAGTTTTGATCTGTTCTTTCATTTGGGCCATATTTCTCTGTCTCGCTGCTCCTGTTACATTGTAAGGGGCAGAGCATTAGGTATTCCCTGAGGCAGGGTAACCCACGTGGCTGAATTGTGGTGCTGTATGTGGTGGAGGGATCAAAGAGGGAACAATGCCGCTTGCTCAGCTCCTGGCCGGTTTTCAGTCACTTCCCCTGTTACCCAGTCACTTCTCCTGCTACCCACAAGCAAACTGGGCCCTTTTGGTGCCAATTCTTGGGTGGGTGGGTTTGGGTACCTTCTAGGGCCCTGTGGGTCTCTCCAACAAACTTTCCTATGAAGCCAGGAGTTTCTCCCCCCACCACAACCCCCACAAGTCTTTACAGCCAGAGGTTTTGAGGCTTTATTTCCCCCTGCTGGAATCCTGGGTTGCATGTTCTGTCTCAATCCCCAGTTGTTACTCACAGTTTAGCCACATGCATATGTGGGACAGTCCGGTCTCCCAGCCATCTTCTCGCCTGCCCAGCCCTCCCAACACAGCTTGCCGTATGTCCTCTCTGTCCCGGCTGTCCATCTCGCTCCTCCTGCCAATCTGGATGAATGTTTCTTCTTTAACTCCTTGGTTGTCGGACTTCCATACAGTTGGATTTTCTGGCAGTTCTAGTTTTTTGTTCTTAAATTTGTTGTTGCCTTCTTTTGGTTGTTTTTGGTTTTTAAATTTGTTGGCCTTCTTTTGGTTGTGCGAGGATGCAAAGCGTATCTATCTATGCCTCCATCTTGGCCAGAAGTCTAAGTTATACTTATATCTGATCTTGTATCTTTTAACATTTATACTATATCTTAGTGATTAACACATCACCGTATGAAAATATTAAACTATTCTGAATTTGACTGTATAGTTACCTTTTCCAACATGTTTTATATTTCCTCATGTTTGCATGTTACTAGTTAGCATCTCTTTATTTCATTTTGAAGAACTCCTTTCAGCATTTCTTGTAAAGGTAGATCTAGTGGTGATGAATCCCCTCAGCTTTTGTTCACTTGTGTATAAGTGTCTTTGATTTCTGACAGGCAACTTTACCAGGCAATGTATTCTTGGTTGATCCAATCTTTTTTTCTTCTCTTTGTATATATCATCCCACTCTTCTGAACCGCTAGATTTCTGCTAAGAAATTTCCTGATAGCCTTATGGGGGTTCTTTATATGCAAGGAATTATTTTCTTCTTGCTGACTTTAAAATTCTCTCTTTGTGTATGACTCGCTAGTGTCATTATAATGTGTCTTGGAGAAGATTGTTTTGGGTTGAAATTTTTGGAATTACATATTAGCTTGAATTTACATATCCAAGTCTCTTCCCAGTTTAGAAAAGGTCTTAGCCGTTATTTCTTTAAATAAACTTTCTGCTCTTTCTTCTTCTCTTTTCCTTTTAGGACTCCAGCACTACATAGATTTTTTTTTAATCGTATCCCAAAATTCATGTAGGCTTTTTTACTCTTACTCATTCTCCTATTTTGTTCCCCTAACTGATGAATTGAAATGATCTGTCTTTCAGTTCACTAATTCTTTCTCTGCTTGCTTGAATCTCTTGTTGAAGTCTTTTATGAATTCTTCAGTTCAATCATTGTATTCTTCAGCTCTAGGATTTCTGTGTGTGTTCGTTTGTTTGTTTTTTTCATCGTCATCTGAGGATATGTTTTATTGATTTTGGAGAGAGAAGAGAGAAAAATATGAGAGATATGAGAGAGAAACATCCATCAGTTGCCTACCATATATGCCCCAACTGGGGATCGAACCCACAACCTACGTATGTGCCCTGACTGGGGATTGAACCCGCAACTTTTTGGTGTATGAGATGATGCTTCAACCAGCTGAGCCACTGAGACAGGCCTCTGTTTTTCAACAGCTCCTAGGTCTTTATTGAACTTCTCT